TGTCTGTTATATAATTATTACTTTTAATGAACACAACTTTGATATATAAATATTAAATTACACATTTACTATTTTTTCTATTTAAAATATTCCATATTCTGAGCTAGCCCTGCATATATTTGCAAAGTGATTAAACCCATTGCACCAGCAATAAGACCCCGTACTAATAAGACGCACCATGGCCCAACAATAATGGCTTGAATAACACTATCTATCACAAGACCTCTCATTGCAGTCAATAATAATAAGATCGTAATTATTGGAACAAAGGCCTTTTTAAGATCGTGCCGGGAGAATAACCAGACTAAAGTGACTGTAGTTATGTGTTGAACCTAAGAAAAAGATCAATGGATCAAAATTTGTTAGCTTCTTAACATTTTTTATGAAATAATTTTATGTCAAGAAATCTATTTTGAATATGTTTTTCCTGTCTTCATACCAAGCTAAATTTCCTTCCAGACATTTTTGCATGTAAGTCCATTGGAATTCCGCTCCTCTAGCACCAGTCCACAAAAGAAGACCTTTTGTTAAAATAGCTTCTGCAGCAGCCCATCCCAAACCTGCTGTTATCAATTTACTATGACCTTTTCCTGGTATACAAGATAATACCAATCGCATCCTAATAAATCTGCAAAATCTACACTGCTTCTTAAAAACTCCTATTGAAACATAAAATATATTTATTAAATTATACAATTATTGAATGTTAAGCTAGCAAAACTCAGTTTTGAATGCAAAAACTATTCAAGTTGTGCTTGATATAGTTGCAATGTTATTACAAACGTACATATAGAAATACTGTATAACCAGTCGATCCAAGTGAATCAGCAGAATCAGGGAAGAAAGTAGCTAATATTAACATTTTACACAATTGTGTGAACATATATATTCCGCCGGCTTGGAAACATTTCCAAAAAGCGCCATATTCTGATCTGAAGGAATAGAAGAAGAAACATTTTGTCTCAAAAGTAACTTCAAACATTAGGAGATTTCATATATATATATATATATATATATATATATATATATATACGAATTGTTATTGATTTATGATTTTATGTCATTATCAGACCATATAAGCGTAGACCTGTTCTCCCAGGCGTCTATTATATCAGTTGTGTTAAAAATAATGTATTATTTGAACTATTCATTACAAATTCAATTATAAAATAATCTGCAATTGCTGGCAAGTTTTGTGGTGTAGTTTTGTGTCGTGTACTTGTAATAATGAGATTCTCCGATGTTCAATATATTGATGATGATATAAGAATACAGAAATGTATGGAACAATAAAGACTTTCAGAAAATCTGTTTGCTTCTATTTCATATAATATATAAAGCAATATTTTTCAGTAATTATTTCTCATTTAAATGGACAGATACTTACAGGCCTGCTAATTTATAAGTCATGTAATAAGGTACATAAACTAAAGCAACACAATTTCCAAAATGATATAACGTCATTTTCTTTCAATATAGATTTATTCATTAACTTTTAAATGAAAAATTAACTAACCCAACTAAGTGTCTTACAGGTTAGAATTTCTTGTCATTTAACTTTTGACTATACTACACGTAATTCATTGGAACTGTGGTGTCATCTATTTATTAGTATCATTTAGCGAATATCAGAGCCATTTAAATATATTACAAAATAAGATAAGATTTAAATTAATTTATATACGTATTTACCTAAGTAATTTTTTTGCAAAAAAGCGTCGATAAAGGGCTAAACTTTTGGCTTGAATATGGATACATACAGATACTTTCAAATTTGTTGTTTATTGATTCAAAATGATATGACCGAGATAAAAAAAATTAGCAAATTTACTTTGGGAAGTTTGTAGTAACATCTTAATTTACTAGTATGGCATTCACTAAAAACGTATATATTCTGTATTGTTTATGATTGTTTAACAAAGATTTTATAACATTGAAATATTCAATTTTTAAGTATTCTCTTGTCTATTTTCCTGTAATGTGTTTATAATGAAACAACGAGATACCTTATGTAAATATTTATTTATTACATAAAGGGCTTTGTATTATACAAATAATTTAAGCCATAGCCATTGCTGGTAGGACAGATGGTACTTCAGGCTTGGGAACTTTGCTCTCACTGCTCGGTACTGTTGGAAGTGGTTCTTCTTTAGGATCGACAACTGAAACATTATCAGGAAGTGGTTTCTTGGGACCTTGTTTGCCTGCAGGGTCGAATGGCAACATAATTTTAACTTTAATTCCTAACACTCCTTGCCTCAACAATACATGACGGGTGGCTGTGTCAACATAGTCATTGCATGGATCTCCTGAGTGGATCATGAGTCCATCAATGAATTTCATTGACTTGGCACGTTGTCCTCTGAGTTTTCCGGAAACAACTACTTCACAGCCTTTAGCTCCAGATTCCATAATGAAACGCAATACACCATAACAGGCACGTCTTACAGCCAAACCTCCGATAAGTTTGTATCTTAAAGATTCAGCTTGAGCAATTGCGCACAAACCTCTGGTAGCAACCTACAATAATAAGGCATATTAATAATATGCAACAGCTTTCACTAGTCACAATCATGTACTAGCAAATTAACTCAAAATAACATTATCATTGACATACTTTTTCGGCATATAATTCTACGGAGTTATCAATGAAATTGAAACGCTTTTGAACTACTGCAGTAAGTTCACGAATACGTCGACCCTTCTCTCCCAAGACATTTTGTGTTCTTGTTGCCATGATAATGATTTCAGTTCGGGTTGGGGTAACTCGAACCTCGACTCCGGAGTACCCATCTTCTGCCAATTCTCTTGTCAAAAACTCATTGAGCTCAGCTTTAAAAACTCCGTCAGCTACGAACTAAAACAGAAATAACTAATCAGTCACTTAGAACGCTTCGATATCTTTGACACATGTTTTTCGGTCGTATAGGTTATAACACGTTTTACACTTATGTTTTGTTGAATAACATTGTTCCTCAAGTCACAAACTTTACTTATATGCACGAAAATCCTTACCTTACGTTTTTTGGAAATTGCAGTGGCCATAATTGTGTATTTTAGTTTCTGACAAACGTATACATTTGCAGCACGAAGAGGAAAAGAAATAATTTTCTATGAACTGTACTAAGTGGATGCCGGAAACAAATTACATGTTGCCAACTTATCGACGTAATGGCGCGAATTATAAATCATTCTTACTTTTCATATTATCATTCATTGAACTAATTTAATCACTTCAACAACTCAGTTTATAAAAAATTCGTATATATTTATTTTAAAAGTAACAAAATATTAACATTTAATTCAATGTAAAATCCAAATATATTTATTAAACTAAAAGTAAAATTCTGTGTAAAATCCAAAATATATATTTTTTAAACAGTTTTAATGAATTTTAATAAACTCAATTGGCTATTAAATATGAGATCATATTTTCAATCGCAGATTCGGATTTCAAAAGCAATCTATTACTAACTTTTACATTAAACACTTATGCCACTGCAAAAAAAAAATGGATGAGAATACCTTAAATAAAATAAAACATTTTTATTAAAGTTCATGATACACATACATATGATACATATTCAAGTATACTCTTCTAAATATATATTCTTTATTTTACCACATATTCAATATGCAAACAATTATATATAAAATGTAATTACACCACAATCATGCAAATGCAATATACAGTATCACAATTTACAAGACAATCTATTTACATTAGCTTGTTAACAAAGTATAACAATAATAAAAATAGGGTTTATTTTTACATGAAATTACATGATATGTGTATAAAAAGGAAGTTTACAGAAATCATCGAAAGTTGAATTAAATTGTTTTAATTTTATATAAAATTATTTCCAAATAGGCACTTAGCAGTTGGAAAAATAGTAACTTAAACACTAGCATATATGGTGTCTGTGAAATTAATCTGGAATGATTCACTGAAGTCTTAAAATAATCTTGCAACATAATAAACTTTGATTTCAGAGTTTACGAATAATCATATGCTTAAATATAATTGGCTAATATCAATTTTCAACAAGAATAAAATGTGATCCAGTACAGATTATCATGACACATTTTCAATTATAATATACATATAATAACATAATACAAAATAATTAAATGGAATATATTATAAAATAATTGATTTGGTGATTAACTTATATTTTATTATCATTATGTCCATTTCTCTATTCCTCAGCCCGAATCATATATTATTCACATTCCTTAAGACTTAATAAAGATTTACGCAGTAAATCATGTTGAGATCTAGCTTGTTTTATTTCCAATTCTGCCAATTCCACAAGGCTGAAAATCAATAATTTGTTAAATTGTATAAAAAGTATTTACTATAAAAAATTACCTTTTTTTGAAGGCAGCTACTCTTCTAGCACGAAAACCAATAAGCTCATCTTTTCCACGAGCTGACATTGATTCAAACATTTCACAAGCTTTTGTTTGAGCAGTCTCCGCCTAAAAAAAATTTAATTTAACGAACAGTCTTTAGATAATCAAAATTGTGAACATACAGAATACATAAAAATGTTAAATGATTATAAAAAAAATTCTTTACATAATTATTACCTCCTGTACTTCTATAGGCTGCATGTTATTGAAAAAATATGTATATAATTTTTTTCTATTTTATATTGGTTACAATCTTACTTACCGCATGAACATCTTTATTTTTTGATCTAGCCTTTTCTAAATTTCTATTTGCAGTCTCATATTCTGCCAAACATCTGCAAAAATTGGTTTTAAAAGATTGTCATAATTTTAGACTATGAATTCAAATTTAGATAATCTTAATTACCTTAATCTTCTAATTAACAATGCCTTAGCTGCATTGCTCTCTCTTTGATAATAGCGTAAAGTATCACCTAGCTTCAGATCTTGATCACTAGCCACTCGGCATTCTATTTTCTGTAAAAATATAAATTGAACACTACTTTCTTTTATTACTTTTATGATACACAAAACATACCCTAGCTTTCTCAAAAATATCTGCAGTTTTTGCTAGGAACTTCTCCATAGAACTACCTGTTCCATGTTCAGTAATAGAAAATTCTTTTAAAGCACATGAGATTTTAATGTAACAATCGGCCATTTCTAAAAAATATATTGCATATGTAAAAATTATTACAATTCATTATAATTTTGAACTCATGCAACCCACCTTTATGTTTGTTAGTCATCTTGGAAGTTCTTTGTGCTGCTTCCTTTAAATTAGAATGATATTCACCCAAAAAATTATACTCAGTTTCAAAAAAGTCATTAACGTCCCTTACTGTAGCACCAAGATAAAGTTCATCAGTTGTTTTACCTAGACATCGAACCTAGAAACAAAAATTTAGAATTAAAATCATAAAAATACAAATCTCCATTATTAAAGAACTAGTATAACAATTACCAATCCTCCAAGATATTCCATTTTCCTTTTTGGACGTGCACAAAGGTCTTGATCATACTCTAAAAACACTTTCAAATGTGAATCATTACGAAATACTGGATGCCCTGCTAAGCGGGTGAGGAAAACCTCATGCATAGCAACAGTCTTTTTGAAAGTAGCAAGATATTCTCTGAAAGAAAATGAAAATATGAGAAATTGAATGCTTATAATTCAGTATACAAAGTTGATCATACGCCTCTAGTTCTTGTTTCATTTTGGCAAATTCTTCTTTAGTCATATTGCCCTCTCCTTCACCTAAACGTTGCAATTTTTCTCGAGAGGCATCAAAGTCTGGCCTCGGTGGGGCTGGTGGAATCTGACAAATAAAAAATAAGTTATAACACTATTTATAAGAGTGATCGAGTTTTGGTCAAAATGTTTTCATGAAGTGAACATAAAAATATACTGTATTATACCGTTTTTTAATGTGAACTTACAATATAACCTGCATATTCTTCATTTTCTTCAAACCTATCATGTAACCAAATAAATTCTTCATGTTGCCTAACTACAAAAAATTCAGGCTTATTGTATCCACTAAGCGAAGTTTTTGTATGAACTGTGAATTTAACTCTATCTTTCTCAGACAAGGCATCTGATATATCAACCTGGAAAACATATTCGTAAAACACTTTTCAGTAGCATAAGTACAATAAATTTATATTATTATCAGTACTAGTAAGCAATTTTCTGCCGAAGGTGCGGCATCCGCATTATTTTGATTTCCTGGATTTTTTTCAATCACTGGACTTGAAGTATCATCCACTCCGTCCTAAAATAAAGAATTTAGTAAAGATAGTTGAAATTTATAGTACTTACAATTTAAAAAATGGCAAAATATAGAAACAAAGTTATCTTTCCGCGATAAAACATTTACGCCCCTTTCTGACAAAGAACTAATAATTTAAATTGCAGTATAAACAAATCTTGCATAGCACAAATCAATAACTTATTTACCATCATGTTTAAAAATTTGTTAAACCTAAATAAGATTACAAATGTTTATTTCTTGTTAGACAATTCTAATACGAATATGACGTTGACTGTCATTCATGCAGCAAAATGGTGGTTGTTGGTGGCCACAAACACTATCAAACAATGCATGTATATATTAAAAACGGTTCTCACACACATTTATCACTTTATTCAAAATGTTTTTGTTTAATTTTTTACATACCAATAGAAAAAATTTTGGATCTATATCTTTGCATACATGCCAACGATTAATATTAAAACTAGAAAAATTATCCACCGACATTTCGATATAATATGAAAGAAACTGCAGTGATGAATTTAACTTGTTGCTTATATTCGGGTTCAATATTTTTTCAGTTGTGCCATGACGAACACTTTTTTCAAATAAAGGCGCGAAATTCAACTGAATAATATTTGAAACTAGTTGTGTATGGCTTCGTGCCTTTAGCCAAATTGCTGGCACTTTTCGTACCGTAATAAAATGTTTGAGGAATATTAAAGGTTTTCAAAGAGTTTGTTATAAATTCTGTAATATCCTCTAATACTTATAAGAGTTTATACGTGATAATTGATCAAACTCGAGACTTTTGAATTCTTTTCCTTGACCTGAATTTTTCTTGTAGTTGACTTACAAAAATGATTTAATCAATAATAATAAAAGAGCATCTACAAAAATTTGTGTGTAAATTTGTATGTATAATTTATATTAGTTTTATTATCCTTTTTATAATGGCAAATTCGGTATTATGTGTAAAAAATATAAATGTTTATGGCAATGTCGATTATGGGCAGCCAATATATCCAAGTTTTAGCGACTACCGAACTTCAACAAAACGAGCTTTACGTTATATGCAAAATCCTCCTCATAACCCAGTGCTATTGCGAAATTGTCCATTAACAGCTTCAAGATGCAAGTTCACTGGATTAAGAAGAAAAACTAATTATGATATTGATTTTACTAAGAAGTCAACTTGCCAAAATGAAGTAAATTATCACAGATAAGAGATTATAAATTGTAATATTAGCTTGATTATGAATTCATTTCAGTACTCAAAATCTGGTGTCGGCAAGGTGAGTCGACAAGAAATCGGTCCAGCGGCAAGTAATATTCATTATATGAGACGTCTGAAGGAGCGTGTTTTTGATGATCCTCCTAGACCGATGAATAATATGATAACAGAGCATCAAAGACAATACAAGTTGAATTATTTTCAAAAACTTCTCCTATACCTAAACAAAATTTCACGCTGCAAAGTGAAAAAGCTGATCCATCTTTTCAATTTAGGAGTAATCAACCAGGTTACAGCAGGTTCGAAAAAAAAACTTGAAGTGGCAAACTTTTAACACGTGTCCGGAGGCGTGGGGTTTTTAATAAAAAGATGCTTCAATGATTCATTTATCCCTATTCCAGATATCTGGATCCTTACGCGAGTACATCTGAATTGTCCTACATTCCTTATACAAAAGACGACCAGAATGGGATTGCAAAGAAAGATATAATAACGTTTTACGATTTATTAAGTGGCCCCAAAGGTGCTCGAGGTTCCGGTCCTCGAGTAAAGACCCATGTAAAGGCTGATACATTCAAGCCCGTGCAAGATAAAGCTGTTTTCAAAAACAAGTGCTATCAACGTATAGTTCCATTTACTATGTTTAGAGTTCCAAATTCAGGAATGACTACTGAAATTAAACGTAACTATAGCGGTCGTACAGTGACGCCGGTAAGAATTAACTGATGAACTTTAATTTTAATTTTCCGAAATAGATGCTTATGTTGTTTCCAGGAAATTCGACTTGATAATTTTAAAACTTTGTTTAAAAATCTGTGGATTTTGAATATTTCATAAACATAAAACGGCAAAAACTTTGTTTAAAAATCCGTGGATAGATATCTTAGGAAATTTTAAAAAATGAAACGGCCAAAATTTTGTTTAAAAATCGGTGGATAGATATCCTTGAATATTTCATAAAAATAAAACGGCAAAAACTTTGTTTGAAATCTGTGGATATATATCTTTGAAAATTTGATATGTATGATATGTATTGCCAATCAAAAATCGTTACATAATTTATTGTGAAACTTTTACAGTTCAATTTAGAGGCATGCAAAGCTCCTCCAGTGCATCAATCTCCTTGGCAAGACTTATCGTCCCCTTATATGTATTGCACAGAGTATTGTCATATTGCGCATAAAACACCAGTTGATTGTATTGTTGATGTATATGGAAAACTTTAAATAAATAGAAGATGTTAACAATAAATATATTTATTTCTATAGCTTTGTACAGTTTATAATAAATAAATTAGACATTAAATTTTTTTATATACAATCAAAAAATACTTTTAGAATGATTAATTAGGAGAAAACTTTCAGTAATTAGATGTTAACGTTTTATACTATTATTTTTTGATATTCTAAGACATCAGCCAAAGTTAAAATAGATATTTTTCGTGTATTATCTGGAAATAAAGTTACTTTTATATTCGGTTTGTCTGGAGTGAATAAATCAAAATGTATATCATGAACATCCTCAATGGTCTTTAATATATTGGTATCATCATGACCTTGTGATGAGATAGACCCATAATATTCTACAATATCTACAGCAAATTCATCTAATGGTAAATAATTGCAATTAATATGATTAGAACCGGGTGGTTGTTTATCCATACCATCATTATGAGGAGTATGAAAATGTTGTATGTTTTTATTTTTTTTTTGCTGGGAGAATGTACCATAATATCTGTTTCACTGCTACTAAGAGAATTATTTGATTGTTTGTCACTTGATACTGTAATTAAGGGTATCATAGAGTCACTTTGTTCCGGGAGATTATCCATTCTTTCTGCCTGTTGAATATCATTGATTTGGATTCTATCAGTAATTTTATTTGAAAAAAATTCTATAGAATGTACAGATTTTCTTGAACTACTATCAATTGAATTCTTTCTGCCTGTTGAATATCATTGATTGGATTCTATCAGTAATTTTATTTGAAAAAAATTCTATAGAATGTACAGATTTTCTTGAACTACTATCAATTGAAGTTGAAGGAATGAAGGATGAGCTGCTTTGCTCAGAAAAATTATTCATACTGACTGATTTTGAATGTACATCCGTTTCTGAAAGTTCAACTTCCTGGATTTTTTCAGAAACATTTTTTGAAAAATCCTCACCGTGTATAAGTCCTATAGGAACATCATATGCATTTGTTATATTGGTTTCAATTGGTTTGGAATCATCACGTTTTCTGATCTCATTTTAGATTGATCGAAATAATATTTAAACTATCATCACTAGTTATTCTCTTGGGAATAATTGATTTATTTTGTTTTTTGGAAAGGTTGATTTATCGTTTTAGTTATTTTTCAGAAGTTTTCAATTTCGTAATTCCATTGTTTACTAAAGGGCTGTTGAATGAACATATTAAATCAAACTCATCTGATGAGCTTTCAGTTTGATCATATGATTGTATGACTTTGCTACTCGCAGAGTACTTTAACTTTGACCTATTAAATGGAGTTTTACTTTTACTATGCTTATCTAAAATTGAAACAAATAAATCTGTATCTTCTGAGGAAGACGTGGAATTTATTTCTTCCGAAAATGATGATATTTGTTCATTGGCTTTTGAATTGCATATTTCATCGGAAGATGCTTCACATGTGCCCCACACATTTTTATTTTTATACAATCTCACTTTATGTTTAAAAGGTCTTGTATTTGGAGTTGTTTCATTTTGTTCGTCTATTTGTCTATGCTTATTTGATAAATTATTTGATGTTGCAATTTTATCTACAGGTTTTTTAGACTGTTTCTTTGAAGGTGTGTAAGATGAATTGTGAACATGATTTTTCTTATTTTCAATTTGTGCAGTTTTAGTTTTATAATTTGTTTTGTTAGTAGCAGCAGTATTTAATAATTGTTGTGACTTTGCAGGAGAGACTGATTTCTTTTCTTTAGTGTTATCCTCACTTGATAACTTTGATAATTTATTCAAGTTTTTTTACGATACGATGAAATACTCTTCTAAATCCATTTCGCATGCGATTTTGTTTGATATAAGCAGTTGTATCTACAGAATCAGAACTCTTAGAGTAAACAGACTTAAATGGTGGCACATTATAGCTCTGGGGTTTGAATTCACCAGAATCAGATGATGTATCGAAGTAATCATTTCGCAGAACTATTGTACTTTTGTCGTGAGAAGCTTTATCACTTAATTTTCGACCTTTTCGATTCGGGAGACCAAATTTCGAAGGTGCTTCATGGGTATCAATCCAATGTTTTATAGCATCCATGTTTTCTGATAATAATAAAATCAATATATACTTATGCAATAAAATTAAATTTTGAAACCAGTCTTGACAAATCTGAAATGTAGAATTGAGAAAGCACAATAGTAACAATTAATATTTCTGCAATACAAACTCTTAGATCAATAATAACTCCATTTATTATTACATTTATCTATATATTTTATGTTCTATTGTTTTTTGAGTACAGATTATGCAAAATGCGCCAATAGAATTTTTTGTTAATGAAAACAAAACCAAACGATTATACTGACGTTTGGATTTGAAGTGAGCAATACGCCATCTTTGTCTATACTTCTGTCATCTGTCATCCGTGTCATCCTATTCATGATTTGATACACGACATCGTTTTCCTAGACAATATAAAAATCGTTTTCCTCTTCCATCAGAATCAAAGAAAATTGCTTTTTTCTTCAATCTAATCATAGATAAAAGAAAAGTATAATCTAATATATAATTTAGTTATGATGTTGAGAAAGATGCTGAGAAAGTATGGAAGTATAGTTTCATAATTTCTGAACAAAATAATACTATCCAGATAATTTTGTATTACATAAAATTTAGTTCATATTTAATATATTTACAATTATTTTTAACCCCTACAAATCTTTTAATTACTAAATTTTTTTATAATGTATTGAAGCATAAATAATTCTTATCTTAAAGCAAATAGCGTCAATAATGAATAACAATCATAATTGTAATTATCTCAGAATAATTTAATTAATAAAATTTATGAATAACATATATTGCAATTACATAGCTCACGCTTCATGCAATTAATTGTTTCTTCTGGACTCTTGATATATGGTAAATTCTCTATTTTCAAATACTTCAAATTCTTCAGTTTAATCAATTCCAAAAGTCCTTTATCAGTTACATTGCCACAACTTATAATCTCTAATTTAGTAAGAGTATTTTTTAAGATTTCCAACTTCGCCATTGCTTTATCATCAATGAGAGTACTTTTATGAAAACGAATTGCCTCAATATGTTTGCAACCGATGAAATGATCAAATCCATAACTCATTATGCTAGATTCTGTGGCATTAATTTCTTGAATATATTTTCCTTTTGGGCATTTCGGAACTTGATTGTAATCCTGCAGTTCTGTTTTCGACCCTACCCATTTGACATATGCTCCATTTCGCAACAACCATTCAGCACAAGCGATGTCTGGACCAACTTCTTTAATACGTGATTCATCTACATAATTGAATACTATATTGAGCCATGCCCAGAAATTTCTTTTTTGTATGAAATTGTTTGAAGCTAGGTATAGGTTGCGCAACATTAACATATTTACTGTGCTTATCTTCTATTATTCAAAATATAATTACAATAGTTTCTATAAATTTTTTCATGTTATTGCGTAACTGAACTTTTAATATGATTTGCAAAATGAACAAATTTATAAATATGACGAAACTACGAAAATACCAACACAAAGTAGCAATAGCGCTCAAAATAAACACTAATTACTTATATAAGATTTATTTCATTAATCTATTTTTATAATTGAAAGAACTCTTGATAATTATAAAAATAATTAAAAATATTATTTAATAAAAACAATTGGCCTAAATTGAGATTTGATTTTGTACTGAAAATTAAATCAGGATTAAATCCATATCATTTGTGTATAATGATTGAGTAATTTTCCCAATAGATTTTGAGTAACTTTCACAGATTTCATAATAAATTACTAGTTCAACTACGAATTTTCTATATAATTAATTTAATTATTTTTTCTCAAACTCCTTATTTTTATTGTCTTCATTAAACTTCAAAATTGTTTTGACACCTGTCAAAAATTTTGACAGCTGCATCTTTGACAGAAAAGAAATTATTTAACAGCAGTTTGAAACTTCAGTTTATTTTTTTCGCATTTTTAATTTAGTTTTATAAGTTAAAATATATTTGGTATATTTCAACAAAGCTTATTATTAATTATTTAATTTAAATTGATAGCAAATAGATTTTATTTAACATAAGAAATGAATAACAATATAACACCTACCAAAAATGATTATTATAACGTACCTTCGAGTCCAGTTTTCAATCGTGTGAAAGTTAAAAAGATGATAAATGAATCACCATCCTTATTTAATAAGAAACAAAAAGTTGTTGAAGATTTAGCTAGCAACAAAATTCAGTCCGAAATAAGCACTCATGAGAAAAATGCAACAAATATTTCAAATGAAATATCTTGTGATGTAAGTCTTTTTTATTAGAGAAATCATTTCACTTCTAGTTTTTGAAACACCATAGCATTATTCTAGACTTTTATTAAATTCTTTTTATTTGAATTCTTAAAATCACTTGCTGTTAATTGAAAACTTAATTTGTTGTATATTATGATTTTTGGTTATATATGCAATTTTTAATTTATAAGAAAAATATTGCAAATGAATTTATGTTTATGTTTCATTATTACATTCACAGAAATTGGAACAAACACATGATAATAAACAAAAGAAATATATGCTTTATTCAGAGAAATCTAAAAAGAATAATAGTCGAGATAAGATCAGTATTAAGAAAAACATTTTATCATATGCAAAATGCTTAGAGAGTTTAAATAAGACTGAAAGACAATCAAGAATGAAAGCCAAACAATTACTATCTCAAGGACTTCAAACATTTTCTGCTATTGAAAATATTGAACAAACATCTCAAAGTAAAGAATTAACCTTAAGTAGTTCTTTAACGGATAGTGAGCTTATAACAGCAAATGATCTATTGCAAGATTTTGAAACAAAAGCTATAGATTTCAGCCAATGGACAGGTAATACAGAATTTATGCATACATCGCCAAAATCATGTATTTTTCAAGAACAAACTAACAATGAAAAAAACAATATTTCAAAAAAGAACTGTGCTGAATTAAATTTAGGTATTTTAGAAAATGAAGCAGACTTGGCCGACTTTAATGGTTTTGAATTACAGGAAAAATTAAGTGATTTTGCACTTAAAAAACATATATTTACTTTATTACCATACACGAAAACTAGAAACTGTTTTAGTGAAAATTCAGGCATCAAAAACAAAAGCACCTTATTAATAAATCCCAGTAAAAATGAACAAATAAACCAGCTCAAACCTGATGAATGCATAGATAAATTTACAGGTTTAGATAAAATTGAAAATGATACTGCAAATTTATTGAGTCTCAAGATTTTTAATAACACTTGCTTGAAACAAAAGATTTCAAAAGAAAGTGATCAGATAACAAATTCAGCCAGTTTGGAAAATCATAAATCTAGTGAACATGGAAATATTACAGAATCTGATGCAGATAATATTTCTGTAAATTCTAATAAACTGTTTGAATTTAAGGAATCCCTGGCTGATGGAAGTGATATTGGCCTTGGAATTAATAACTCTGGATTTGTTGGTTTTCAATCAGCTAGTGGCAAACACATAAAAATCTCAAAGAAAGCTTTAACAAAATCCAAAAAATTATTTGAGGATAATGATTCCTCAGACAACATAATTCCTATTAGTAGTGAACAAGTATGCCTAAGCAATGAACAAAGTTCTGGATACCTTCAATCAGCAAATGATAAAAATATATCAGATCCTGAAGATTTTTCAAAAAATTCATCCAATGAAGGGAAGAAAAAATACATCCCAGAGAATAATGAAATACCAGCTAATTCAAATGAATTTAGAATCCAATCAGTAAATATGATGGCAAAATTGCAACATATTTTAGAAAAATCTAAAGACAACGAATTTTTAGATAAGGATGAAAATTATACTAAAAACCAAAATTGTCCTTTCATAGGTTTTCGATCTGGTAGTGGTAAAACAATTCCCATTTCTCAAAATGCTCTAGAAAAATCCAGAAAACTTTTTGAGGACGATGAAATTTCAGCTAAAGATGAAAACTCTACCAAAGAAAGAGACAAAATTTGTCCTTTTGTTGGTTTTCACACAGGTAGTGGTAAACAGATTCCGATTTCACAAAATGCTTTAACAAAATGTAGAAAACTCTTTGAAGACAATGAAGTTGCTGATAAAGAATATGAAAACTGTACTAAAGAAGCAAATAGGGACAAAATTAGTTCTTTTGTTGGTTTCCAGTCTGGTAGCGGTAAACAGATTCCCATTTCACAAAATGCTTTAGCAAAATCTAGAAAACTCTTTGAGGACAGTGAAATTTCTGATAAAGAATATGAAAATTTTACCAAAGAAGCAAATGGGGAAAATTGTTGGTTTCCAGTCTGATAGTGGTCAAAAGATTCAGATATCACAAAATGCTTTAGAGAAATCCAGAAAACTCTTTCCAGACAATGATTTATCGGATAAAGGTGAAAATTATACTAAAGAAGTAAATAAGGACAAAGTTTCTCATTTTGTTGGTTTTGAATCTGGTAGAGGTAAACAGATTCCAATTTCACAAAGTGCTTTAGAGAAATCCAAAACACTTTTTCAAGACAATGAAATTTCAGATGAAGAATATGCAAATTGCACTAAAGAAGTAGATAGAGACAAAATTTGTACCTTCATAGGTTTTCAATTTTGGTAGTGGTAAAACTATTCCAATTTCACAAAATGCTTCAAAAAAATCCAGAATGCACTTGCAGGACAAAGAATTTTCAGACAAAGATAAAAATTGTACTAAAGGAGAAGATAGAGCCAAAAATTGTCCCTTTATAGGTTTCCAATCTGCTAGTGGTAAAAAGATTCAGATTTCACAAAATGCTTTAGAGAAATCCAGAAAACTTTTTCTTGATGATGAATTATCAGATGAAGGTGAAAATTGTTTCCAGTCTAGTGATGGTAAACAGATTCCGATTTCACAAAACGCTTTAACAAATTCTAGGAAACTCTTTGAAGACAGTGAAATTTCTGATAAAAAATATGAAAATTGTACTAAAGAAGCAAATTGGAACAAAATTAGTCCTTATGTTGGTTTCCAGTCTGGTAGTGGTAAAAAGATTCCAATTTCACAAAATGCTTTAGAAAAATCCAGAAAACTCTTTCAAGACAATGAAATTTCTGATAATGAATATGAAAATTGTACTAAAGGACCAAATAGGGACAACAATTGTCCTTTATATTTTCAGTCTGGTAGTGGTAAAAAGATTCAGATTTCACAAAATGCTTTAGAAAAATCCAGAAAACTCTTTCAAGACGATGATTTATTAGATAAATGTGAAAATTATACTAAAGAAGTAAATAAGGACAAAATTGTTACTTGTTGGTTTTCAAGTGGTAAACAGATACCAATTTCACAAAGTGCTTTAGAGAAATCCGAAAGACTTTTTCAAGACAATGAAATTTCAGATAAAGAATATGAAACATGTACTAAAGAAGTAGATGGAGTCAAAATTAATACCTTCATGGGTTTTCAATCTGGTAGTGGTAAACAGATTTCGATTTCACAAAGTGCTTTAGAAAAATCTAGAAAACTTTTTCAAGATGATGAATTTTCAGATAAAGGTGAAAGTTGTACTAAAGAAGTAGATAGGCGCAAAATTAGTACTTTCATGGGTTTCCAGTCTGGTAGCGGTAAAAAGATTCAGATTTCACAAAATGCTTTAGAGAAATCGAGAAAACTCTTTCAAGACAATGAATTATCAGATAAATGTGAAAATTATACTAAAGAAGTAAATAGGGACAAAATTTATCCTTTTGTTGGTTTTCAATCTGGTAGCGGTAAACAAATACCAATTTCACAAAGTGCTTTAGAAAAATCTAAAAGACTTCTTCAAGACAATGAAATTTCAGATAAAGAATATGAAAATTGTATTAAAAAAGTAGATAGAGACAAAATTAGTACTTTCATGGGTTTTCAATCTGGTAGTGGTAAAACTATTCCAATTTCACAAAGTGCTTTAGAAAAATCCAAAAAACTTTTCGAGGACAATGAAATTTTAGATAAAGATTTAGAAAACTCTACTAAAGAAGTAGATAGAGGCAAAAATAGTTCTATTAAAGGATTTCAATCTGGTAGTGGTAAACAGATTCCGATTTCACAAAGTGCTTTAGAAAAATCTAGAAAACTTTTTCAAGATGATGAATTTTCAGATAAAGGTGAAAGTTGTACTAAAGAAGTATCTATAGATAGAGAAAAAATTTGTTCTTTTAAAGGTTTTCAGTCTGGTAGTGGTAAACAGATACCAATTTCAGAAATTGCTTTAGAGAAATCCAGAAAACTCTTTCAAGACGATGAAATTTCAGATGAAGGTGAAAATTATACTAAAGAATTAAATAGGGACAAAATAGGTATTTTTGATGGATTTCAATCTGGTAATGGTAAACAGCTTTCTCAAATTTATCAAAATGCTTTAGAAAAATCCAGAAATTTGTTTGAAGATAATAATTTCTCTAATAATACAGATATTAATAATGAATTTGTAGATGATTCACAAAAATATTTAGAGAAAACCAGTATACTATTAGATGGTTTTGAAATTTCAGCTAAAGATTCTAAAAGATACCCTGAAGATGCTGATGTAAATTTAAATCGTGGGCTGAAAACAAATAGGAAATTATTTGAAACTGATATATCATCTTCAAAAAAATGTAAAAATAGTTCAGTTGAATCTTCAGAGAAATTTCATAATTGTCGCAATTCCAAACGCAAATTTTCAAGAATCGATGATGATAAAGTATTGGAGTCGAATGAATATAAGGAATCTAACATACAGACTATTTTATTAGAAAAAAATAAAGCAAGAGATATTACTGATAAGGAACATATTGAATCAAAAGTGATTTGGAAATTTAATAATATAAGTTCATCTAGCAATAATGAGTTTCATGATGGAAAAATTCAACAGGATACGGATTTATATGATAAACAACCTTTATCACCTATTTTAATGAAAAAACCTATTTCTGTAAATAAAGCTCCAAAATCAGATGGTAAATTTTTTGATAAAATAATAAAAAAAACAAATAATGATATTAGCACTTATAATATAGATAATGTTAGTATATCCCAGGAAATTAAAGAGAGTACATCTGCTTTAATGGCAGACGAAATGTCTTTTATAGATGATTCAATTTTCAAAGGCTCAATAGTAACAAGTCCTTCAAGTTTTCTGAATGATGTATCAAATACTCTACAACCTGTTCTAATCAACGCTGATGCAACACAGAATGAGTTGCAAATTCAGCAGTGTACTACTTTTAATAAGAATCTTGGAGCAAGAGATTTATTCAAAAAGAAACCAGAGGACAAAACGAAAGAACGAAATTTGAATAATCAAATAAATAAATCAACTGAAGCACTACAATCAAAATTCAAAATACCTTTAAAGCCTGGATTAAATAAAGTTGTTGATAATTCGTTAAAACGATGTGCAGTTGATATGGATTTAGATTATTCTGTACCATTTGCAAAGAAAAATAAAGAAGTAGAATTTGAAAATAATTCAATTGACATAGAAATGATTCTATTTAATACCCAAATCATATCAAAAATAGATGAAAGGATAGTTTCTGAAGATGTTTGTACTATGAGAAACATGAGTTATGAAAAACAAAAAATGAGGATCAAACATATTAAAAGGAGAAAAATTGATTGCAAACCTTTGAGAGGATCTAGTTTAACAAATAAAATTGGATCTACTGATCGCGTATCATGGTTTAAGCACACTGATGGTGCAGTACCACAAAGCTATGATCGTGATACATTATTATACAAATTTCACTTGAAAAAAAATATTATTGATGTATCTATACAAAATATAGATAATTTTATCTTCAGTGCTTGGGATTATTACAGGTTAATATCTGATTTTTTTTTTTTTTTTTGTAATTCCAACAACAAATCTCAATTTTTTAAATACAATAATACTCTTGTATCTTTGTATTTATTATTTAATAAGAATAGGCTTCTTTTAGACTATTATAATTTTATATTATTTTTTATATAATTTAGTAATGCTACTTGTAAAACTAATACATCTGGCATAGAATGCGGAGATGGAGCAATATTAATTCTTGATGAAAACAGCAATATCACTCAAGAAAGAATAGTGACAAGTTTTCTAACAAGTCCAGGAGTTGATTCAAATATTATTAACGACACTTGGGTCAAGAATCATATCAAATGGATAATTTTGAAACTTGCTTCCATGGAAAGAAGTTTTCCTAATTTATTTGCGAATAAAGCATGCACTCCCCACAATCTAATGCTTCAGTTGAAGTACAGGTAATTTTGCTTTGTGTTTTATTTTGTTTTTTATACGATTACATTTGATTGGAATTTATGATTTATTAGATATGATAGAGAAGTAGATGAAGCTGAAAAATCTTGTCTTAAAAAGATTCTCCAAACTGATGACACACCATCGAAACCAATGGTATTGTACTGTGCTGATATATATAAACTTGATAGTAAATTGA